CTTCGAAGACCGATTAATCGGCCGCCTCAGCCGATTTTTAGAACACCGCTATCAGTATCAATATCAATGCCAATATTAGTAACAATATTACTATCAAGATTAAAATCAATATTGATATAAATATTAGTATCAATATCAATATTATTAGTATCAGTATCAATATTAGTATGACTATCATTATCAATAGGTGTATTAGTATGAGTGTCAATATGATTATCATTATTAGTATCAGTATAAGTATCAGTATTAATATCATTATTAGTACAAGTATTAGTATAAATATTAGTATGAGTTTGTATGAATATGAGTATTGGTATAAATATCGGCAATATTAGCATTAGTATCAATATTAGTATAAGTATTAATATCAGTATCAGTATAAATATCATTATTGATATGAGTAAGAGTATCAAAATTAGTAAGATAAGTATTAGTGTGAGTTTCAGTATCACTATGTGTATCAATAATAGTATCAGTATGCGTACCAATATAAGTATTTGTATGAGTATCATTATTAGTATCAGTATCAATATCAGTATTGATATAGTATTAATATGAGTATCAATATCAGTATGAGTATCAGTAATATACCAGTATGAGTATCAGTTTGAATATCAATATGAGTATCAATATTAGTTTCAATATTAATGTCAGTATTAGTATCAACATCAGTATGAATTCAGTATGAGTAGCAATATGAGTATAGGTGTGAGTATCAATATCAATATCAATATAAGTTTCAGTGTTAGTATGAGTAACATTATCACTATTAGTATTAGTACCAATCTAAATATCAGTTTGAGTATCAATATTAGTATCAATATGAATATCGGTATGAGTGTCACTATGAATATCAATATTAATATCAATATTGGCGTCAATATCAATACCAGTATCAATATCAATATTAGTATAAATATTAGTACAGTTAAACCTCTATAAATTAATACAGTTGGGACCATCAAAATTTCATTAATTTAGTGAAATATTAACTTATCGGTAAATTAATAATTATTAATTTATACATTAATTAATAACTTATCAATTTATACATTAATTAATAACTTATTAATTTATGAATTACTTTTATTATATTTTAAACAAATACATTTTTTTTAATTTGTTTGCGTGTATATTATTGATTGTACCATTATTTCAATGCAATATAAAGTCCGTTTCACAAATGTAAGCTCTTAAATCAGCAATGGTATATAACGATTTTATGTTGAGTTGTGAGAAAACTATACTGAATTCTAGCCATGTTAAGAAAAGTGAGGGACGCGATTGATAGTAATGTGAACTTCAACAAGAAACAACTAACAATTAAATTATATTGTATTAAGACTTCATATATCTATAAAATAAGTATTGTACCATGTAACTTAAGAATTATTTTTATGCATTATTAATTTATATATTATATGGGACTTCTTAAAATTTTCGAATGTGTATTATCTTATAAATTTAGCGAATCATTAATTTAGCACATTGTCGCCGAGCCGGGACCGGAAAAAAATATTATTTAAGCGAGGTTATTAATTTATCGGGTATTAATGTATCGAGGTTCTACTGTATGAATATTAGTACCGATATTAGTATAGTTATTACTATCAGTATCAGTATTAATATCAGTATCAATATTTGTTTAAAAACAATCAATATCAATATAAGTATCAGTATCAATATCAATATGCGTATAAGTACGAGTATCAGTAAGTATTAGTAAGAGTATCAATACAATATCCGTATAAGTACGAGTATTAGTAAATATTAGCATGAGTATTCTTATTAGTATCAATATTAATATCAGTATAATATGAGTATTAGAAGGAAGTTTTTCAGCGTATATGAAGGTAATACTATATAAAATTTTATACAATATTAAATAACGATCTTTATTTTCTATTACTTATATGTTTTGTTATTCCTCATTTGTAGGTTTGTTTTAATTGTACTACAAACTTGCTATGGACTCCACTCACTTTTTTCATGAAGGTAATTTTTTATATTGATTTTATATCATTAAACATTATATTTGTATTGTTTTGGTAACCTTTTACCTATTTTGTATGACCACTGTACAAAATATGTAGATCAGTTGAACTGTATTGGATTTGTTGCATGCGTTTAGAGCGGTTGGTATCAAACAACATAACACTGATTGTTTGGATGAAATTCAAGTTTTGAACGTTCATATGCCATTATGGTTGTACAAGTTTGGGACCAACGATATATTCATTCTTCATATGCGGAAATTAAAACCTCCGATATGTAGTTTTTTCATTTGTTTCAGTTTATTTCATCACTCACACAATACAAATCAGTAGTTTTTTTTTTTTTACAATTTATACTTTTTTGTATTACATATGAACAGTTGATCTAAATATTTCGAAAACTTTTTTTTATTATGAATATTTACTTTTACAATTAATACTCCGTGCATCGCACGGGTGCACTACTAGCGTTGTCTCGGGTGAAGAGTAGATCTGGAATAAAGATTTTAATAAAGGGCGAATCCGGTGAGTTGTCCAGTGTTACTAGCAACGTCGTGTACAAAGAAGTATTCGAAAGAATATAAAGGTACACATTGGCAAACACATATATTAGTTTTATTTATGTTTAACGTTGTTTTTTTCAATATGCTCATATATATATATATATATATATATATATATATATATATATATATATATATATATATATAAGTATTCGTTATCTACGTAACGTCTTTAACTTATATATTGAAAATGTGGAAAAATAACAAGTTATTTGTTCTCCTATCGTATATCTGATTGTAGTTTCATGGTCTCCTTTAACAACAATAAGATTCATGTGCAAGACTGGTGCGATGCTTTGATTTCAGTATGGGAGTTACTTGCTACATTTTAACGTGGATGGTTTTTAGAATGTTGTCAGTTTATTCTATATGCAAATGTTTTATTGATTGATTAAGATACGAATTTTTATTTTTTTGTTCGGTTGTATTCTTAGCAATCTCGACATAATTTTTCTTCGTTAATTTTATACATTGACTCATTTTAATGTCTTTAATTTATCCCCGTGCATCGCACGGGTGAGTTACTAGTTATATATATAACCGACGAATCCCTTAATACAACCAATCAAATAAGGAAAATTGATGAAATACTAATCCAAAAAAAAAAAAAACAAATAAATAATAATTCCCGCCAATTAAATTATGGGGCTGCGACAAAATCAAAATTGAATAGCATAAGATATGGACCACGTCAAAAGGGGACCATTTGAAAAAAAAAAACACTTCCGAATCTAAGATTTGAAAGAAGTAAGAGCCCAAAAGTACTTGGAAGCTGGACCACTACCGAAATACTATGTTTAGGCCCAAAGTTGTTTTCTTTTTTAATAATTCTTGGCCCCCATTTTTTTTTATGGATCAGCTTTTGTTATACTAAGGATAAAAGCTGTTTTTATTTATTATTTTTTTTGAGTGCTAGTTACTAAAGTACAACCTTGTACATTTACTAACAAAAATTATGACTTGCTATTTTTCAAAAAAATTACTCCTATTTTTTGCAGTAATAATACAAAAATATACAAGAACTCATTTATTCGAATTGGAGTGAGTATATAACTCAAAGAAAATATTTATTTATATAATTATTTAATTATTTAACTATTATGTAGATAAGAATTAAAAAAAAAAAATTGGTATCAGAGTTTGCAGGATCACGTGGTGTATGGCAGGATTTTGGCAAATTTTGCACCATATTTTTCCTCTGGTGGGGTTCTTCGGTTTGGACATATTCTTCTTGGGTTAATTTTGCTTGTCAAAATACTACTGGATTTTAATTAATTAATTAATGTTCTATTATTTATTTCCAATTTTACTAAGGATGGATGACTTAATAATTTAAAGAAAAAGCTTAGTCTTTAATTGATGATTATATGCTTCCTTGGTAGAAGCAATGATGGCACTATCGGGGG